GATCCTCCTTATATATCAGAATTTTGATTTTAGGTTTGAAAAAGCATGTTGCATTGTCCATATATGGGGCTGTACAAGGTGTGAAACCAAAGTTGAGGGCTGACTTGCTGACTTGTTCAATCTCTTCTGAGGAAGGAATCATTGTCGCAATGTTAAATTCTAAATGAAAAACCATACATTCTGTTTGGTGGACTCTGCCCCAAAACAGAGACTTCAAAATGTATACATTTATCTTAAAATATTGTACATGTAATGAAGCAATGTATAAATTATATGTTCTCTATCTCTTTATCAGCATAACTATAATTTCTTCTTTTCAGGTGAAAGACCTTAAAACTCAAGTGAGTTATTTCAAGAATGTCGAGAAGCAGTTGAGGCACAAACTAGGTGATGCCCGAGCGTACACATTTCTATCAGAAGCTGTTTACTTGATTAGCATTGGAAGCAATGATTATTATACCCCAGTCCTAACAAATTCAAGTTTGTTTGCGTCCCACTCACATGAAGAATATGTTGGCATGGTGGTTGGCAACCTGACAGATGTGATCAAAGTAAATACATTTATGTCTACTTTCTCAAGAATATACAACACACATGACACGTTTCCATACTATTCTTCTTCTTTCTAAATTTCAGATGAGTTATTTCATGCGCATTATTTCAGGAAATATACAAGAAAGGAGGAAGGAAATTCGGGTTTGCAAATGGGGTTCCTCTCGGTTGTATACCTTCCATGAGAATACTTAAACCAGAAAACATAGGTGCCTGCTCGGAAGAAGTTACAGCACTAGTGAAACTACACAGCAGAGTAGTTGCTAAGGGCCTCCTAAAGCTGAAGAGCCAGCTGCATGGATTCAGATATTCAAATGCAAATTTCTACACTCCCTTAACTGATACAATTAATAACCCATCAAAATATGGTATATATAGACAGAGCACCTTCTCCTTTAGTTTTAGCTTCTCTTATTCGTTTTAATGTTCCTTTTGTTATTGTTGTTATGCTGTGAAGGTTTCAAGGAAGGAAAGATGGCATGCTGTGGCTCTGGTCTATACAGAGGAATTATGAGCTGTGGTGGGAAGAGAGGTTCAGAGTTTCAGTTATGTGACAATGTTACTGAATATGTCTTTTTTGACTCTAGCCACCCAACAGAAAGGGTTTACCAGCAAATATCCAAGTTATGGTGGAGTGGAAGTCCCAATGTGACTAAGACGAGCAATAATCTAAAGGAGCTGTTTGAAGTTTAGTTTCATAAGCAATTCTGCATTTTGCAGACAATTTCTGTTTCAAAATAAATTAAAGTTTGATACATCATCTTTGTAAATAAGTATTCGCCTCTTAAATATACGTATTTGATGCTTTATGTAATATAAATCTTGGCACCAAAATAAATGAAGAAAAAGTTGTACTAAATCCTGTAAGTCAGAACTAAGTGCCTATACTTTAGTAGGCCAATAGACATTAAGCAACTGATGAAGGGGGTCTTTTCATATTCTGTTTTCAGGTGATTTTTTATAACGTTCCATAGAGGTCAAGATCATCATGAATGGGGGAATTTGGAAACTTTGGGGCGTGTTTGATAGGGATGACTAGACTAGACTAGCAAAATACCTACATTTCATGTGCATTCAAGGCATAATATGGATATGTTGCCTAACTTAGGGGAAGAATGAGGACTATCTATAAGAGGTTGTTGACTAAAACTTATCCCCCAATCCCCTTGAAAATGGTAGGATCGCGAGGGATAAGTTTTAGTGATCAACCTCTTATGATAGTCCTCCTTCATCCTCCGAGTTAGACAACAATATCCATAGTATGCCTTGATTGCACATGAAATGTAGCCACTTTACTAGTCTAGTCTAGTCTGATATTTCCTCACAAACGAGGCATAAAATACCAAAACTATTGCCTACACTAGCCAAAACTAACAATACCAACAACACTACCTTTGTGAAGAATTACAACTCAATTAATGTATGTTTGGAAACCAAGAAAAAGAGAGAAAACCAAGTGAAGCAGGGTTCAATTTCTTGCTTTTATTAACCTAAACAAAGACATACATCAGATTCGGTTATATCGACTACAGGTTAAAGCACAACTAGCTTAACAGATCTCAATCCCTAACCATGAACTAACTCTGGTTTTGTTAGCTGAATTACATTGACTTTGACTTCTAGAAGCTTTGGCTGCTTTTCAATGAGAATATTTTTTGGAGGAAGGCTGCTGATGAAACTGAAGATGAAATTGCAAATTTTCCATTTATTTACTTTTAGTTCCCAAACTTTGCTGCAGCTATTTTTTTTTCATTGGATAATGAATGGTCAACTTAGCAAAAGTTTCTACTGTATAATCTATTATTTTGTGTGATTGAAGCTAATAATATCTGAAAACGTCTTATCCAAGTTGATAATAAAGACAAAAATTTCCAACTGCATCATGCTAAGCATCAACCGACTCTCATTTGTGTCATCTTTTTCTTTTTTAGTTCACTTTCCTTGTCTTTTCTTTATGTTATCTGGACCAGGAAGTAAATTCCTTATTAAATTGAATTGAAACAGAGAAAAAGATGATATAATGCAAAGTTATACAGAACATGCTGGAATGGCATCTTTCAGGTTTCAAATCTATATCTTGGCTTTCTGTGCAGGCTTTGTTATCCAAAGCCGCTGCAATGGCCATTCTGGGCTTCAGAAAAAACATGTAGCCCTGTTCATCTTTGGTGATTCACTCTATGATCCTGGAAATAATAACTACATAAATACCACAAAAGATTTCCAGGCAAATTGGTTGCCATATGGTGAAACATTCTTCAGGTACCCAACTGGTAGATTTTCTGATGGGCGTTTAATCCCAGATTTCATTGGTAAGAACCATCTTGTGAGTGATATTGTTTCTTTCAGACATTTCTTCAAACACCATTGCTTCTAACTGACAGCAACTGATAATACAAACACATGATACAACTAACTATTAAATTTTATATTCATGTTTCAGCTGAGTATGCCAAGTTGCCAATTATACCAGCATATTTACAACCTGGGTTGAAAGACTATACTTATGGGGTGAACTTTGCTTCTGGTGGAGCTGGTGCTCTAGTTGAAAGCCATCAAGGATTTGTACATGCTCTGGCTTATTATATGTTTTCCTTTGTTAAGACTTCTAGTTACAGTTGCAGCATCTCAATATGTATTTTCGGTAATTCGCGTGCTTTTCGTTAGCATGATTTGATTATGTGATCTGTTGTTTTTAGGTGATAGACCTTAAAACTCAACGAAGTCAATTCAAGAAGGTGGAGAAGCAGTTGAGGCAGAAACTAGGTAAAGTCGAAGCCTATACATTGCTGTCCAAAGCTGTCTACTTAATCAGCATTGGAGGCAATGACTATTTTTCCCCATTAGCAACCAGTACCGGCCATGAAGAATATGTTGGCTGGGTTATTGGCAACCTGACAAGTTGGATCGAAGTAATCTTATCTTCTTTTTCACACATACATATCACGCGAAATTTTTTAATTCGATTTTCTTCTTTTTTCTATAACTTGTTACAATTTGTGTACAACTTTGTGTCTTCTGATTATGAATCCGGAAAGATCTTTTGGAGGAGAGATTTGATATACATTTTGTCAGGATGTATACAAGAAAGGAGGCAGGAAATTTGGATTTTCAAGCTTGGCCCCTCTTGCTTCTGTGCCAAATATGAGAGTGATTCAACCAGGAAACACGGGCCCTTCTGGGGAAGAAGTTACAGCACTTGTGAAACTACACAATAGACTGCTTTCCAAAGTCCTCACAAAGCTGAAGAAAGAGCTCGAAGGATTCAAATACTCAAAGCTTAATCTCTACACTTACGCTAAAGAAAGAGTTAATTATCCATCAAAATATGGTATGCATAGCCATGACATCTTCTCCTTAAAGTTATAGTTTCTCTTATTTGGTTTTGTCATAAGCTGATAATTCATGTCTCCTTTTTAATATTCTTTTCGTTATTACTGTGTCGTAAAGGTTTCAAGGAAGGAAAGACGGCGTGCTGTGGCTCTGGTCCATACGGAGGAATTTATACCTGTGGAGGGAAGAGAGGTGTGACTGGGTACAAGTTATGTGGCAATGTTACTGAGTACGTCTTTTTTGACTCTTTCCATCCAACTGAAAGAGTTTACCAGCAAATGTCCAAGTTATGGTGGAGACATAACTTGAAGGAGCTATTTGAAGTTTAGGCAAAATAGGGCTTTATAGTTTCATAAGAAATTGAGCAATTTGCAGACACAATTTCCGTTTCGAATTGATGGAGCCATGTGCACATGGGCAAGTCTCCAAGTTATGGTAGAGCCATACTCCCAATGTCCCAGGGGCTTCTTTTAATTTGAAAGAGCTATTTGAAGTTCAGAAGCCTATGGATTTGTTAGTTTCAATAAGCACGCACCTGTGAATTCGCACAGACAATCTCTGTTTAAAAATAAATTATGTTTTGATATATCATCTTTGTAATAATGTATTCACAACTCAAAAATAGATGTGATAGATGTTTTCTGCGCTCCAATTCTTGACACCAAAAGAACCAAAGAATAAACTCTACTCAATCCTGGAAGGGATCTTATGGGGTGGAAGATAGAAGCAAAGCCAAGAACTAGGTGCTCTGTTAAGTAGGGCAATTGACATTATGCAAATGGCGAAGGTGGTCTATTTTGGTTGCTTGTTTCTCAATTTGCTTTGTTATATTTCCCTAGTTCCGGAGAATTGTCAACATTTTAAGATACCTATATATAGGCATGAAACAGGAGGTAAATGTCAACATTTTAAGATACCTATATATAGGCATGAAGCAGAAGTTTCTTTGTGATTCAATTGACAATGAAGACAAAAAAATGCTGACTGTATCTTTTTCTTTTTTAGTTCACTTTCCTGTATTTTCTTTATGCTATCTGGACCAGGAAGTAATTTCCTTTTCTTTGTGTTCAAATCAAAGCCTAAATTTCCTCATCTTTTCCTTATCCCAATATGTGCCTTGAAAAGTTTCAGCCATCTATTAAATTGAATTGAAACAGTGGAAAAGATTATATATACAAAGCTAAACAGAACATACTGGAATGGCATCTTTCAGGTTTCAAATCTATATCTTGGCTTTCTGTGCAGGCCTTGTTATTCAAAGCAGCTGCAATGGCCATTCTGGGATTCAGAAAAAACATGTAGCCCTGTTCATCTTTGGTGATTCACTCTATGATCCTGGAAATAATAACTACATAAATACCAAAAAAGATTTCCAGGCAAATTGGTTGCCATATGGCGAAACATTCTTCAGGTACCCAACTGGTAGATTTTCTGATGGGCGTTTAATCCCAGATTTCATTGGTAAGAAAGAACCATCTTGTGAGTAATATTGTTTCTTTCAGTCATTTCTGATGATACAAACACATGATACAACTAACTATTGAATTTTATATTCATGTTTCAGCTGAGTATGCCAAGTTGCCATTTATACCAGCATATTTACAACCTGGGTTGAAAGACTATACTTATGGGGTGAACTTTGCTTCTGCTGGAGCTGGTGCTCTAATTGAAAGCCATCAAGGATTTGTATATGCTCTGGCTTATTATATGTTTTCCCTTGTTATGACTTCTAGTTACAGTTGCAGCATCTGAATATGTATTTCGTTAATTCGCGTGCTTTTCGTTAGCATGATTTGATTATGTGATCTGTTGTTTTCAGGTGATAGACCTTAAAACTCAACGAAGTCAATTCAAGAGGGTGGAGAAGCAGTTGAGGCAGAAACTAGGTGAAGTCGAAGCCTACACATTGCTGTCCAAAGCTGTCTACTTAATCAGCATTGGAATCAATGACTATTCTATCCCATTAGCCACCAATACCAGCCATGAAGAATATGTTGGCTGGGTTATTGGCAACCTGACAAGTTGGATTGAAGTAATCTTATCTTCGTTTTGCACACATGCATAGCAGGAGAAAAAATTTAATTCGAGTTTCTTCTTTTTTCTATGAATTGTTACAATTTGTATACAACTTTGTGTCTTCTGATTATGAATCCGGAAAGTTCTTTTGGAAGAGTGATTTGATATACATTTTGTCAGGATGTATACAAGAAAGGAGGCAGGAAATTTGGATTTTCAAGCCTTTTTCCTCTTGCTTCTGTGCCAAGCAGGAGAGTGATTCAAGCAGGAAACACGGGCCCTTCCCGGGAAAAAGTTACAGCACTTGTGAAACTACACAACAGACTACTTTCCAAAGTCATCACAAAGCTGAAGAAAGATCTCCAAGGATTCAAATACTCGAAGCTCAATCTCTACACTTACGCTAATGAAAGAATTAACCATCCATCAAAATATGGTATGCATAGCCATGACACCTTCTCCTTTAAGTTATATAGTTTCTCTTATTTGGTTTTGTCATAAACTGATAAGTCATGTCTCCTTTTTAATATTCTTTTTCGTTATTACTGTGTCGTAAAGGTTTCAAAGAAGGAAAGGCTGCGTGCTGTGGCTCTGGTCCATACGGAGGAATTAATACCTGTGGAGGGAAGAGAGGTGTTACCGGGTATAAGTTATGTAACAATGTTACTGAGTATGTCTTCTTTGACTCTTTCCATCCAACTGAAAGGGTATACGAGCAAGTGTCCAAGTTATGGTGGAGCCATAACTTGAAGGAGCTATTTGAAGTTCAGGCAAAATAGGGCTTGATAGTTTCATAAGAAATTGAGCAATTTGCAGACACAATTTCCGCTTCGAAGCAAATTAAAAGTTTGATGGAGCCATGGGCACATGGGCAAGTCTCCAAGTTATGGTGGAGCCATACTCCCTGTTAGAATTGAAGGGGAAACAAAGTGAATTTATTATATTTGGAGAAGAATAGTACATGGCTTTGTGTAGGCTAATTGGCCTTCTACACTTAGCATATTGGCTTATTGGCCACTACACTTGATTTAGAATAGATTGGGCTATTTGGCCCTTCACTTAGATTAGTTTAGGCTATTTGGCCCTTCACTTAGATTGGGAGTTCTTTTGTTTCACTCCACTCGGCTTTATTGCATTGCATGCCTATTTATAGGCATGCTTTGCCGACTATCTATTGGCTTTTTGCTTAGTTAGGTCGGTTTGCACAGTAACCGACTTTGTCTAAGTAATTTCAGCCATATATTGTAGTTTTCTACTAGAGCTTTCTACTAGCTTCATTAACTAGTGTTTAGGGAATACAACCACTGACTTTTCATTCTATATTATTCTAGAAAATTCTGCTGTCTTGTAGAAATCTCTCTCAAATGTGCATTAATGTTTAACACTCCCAATGTCCCAGGGCCTTCTTTTAATTTGAAAGAGCTTTTTGAAGTTCAGAAACCTATGGATTTGTTAGTTTCAATAAGCAAGCGTCTGTGAATTCGCACAGACAATCTGTGTTTAAAAATAAATTATGGTTTGATATAGCATCTTTGTATTAATGTGTTCACAACTCAAAAATAGATGCGATATATGTTTTCTGCACTCCAATTCCTGACACCAAAAGAACCAAAGAGTAAATTCTACTCAATCATGTAAGGGATCTTATGGGGGGAAGATAGAAGCAAAGCCAAGAACTAGGTGCTCTGTTAAGTAGGGCAATCGATCCACATTATGCAAATGGTGAAGGTGGTCTATTTTGGGTGCTTGTTTCTCAATTTGCTTTGTTATATTTCCCTAGTTCCGGAGAATTGCATGCGATCCTACTGATGTGTACAATATTCCATAGAGGTTAAGGTATTGCATGCGATCCTACTGATGTGTACAATATGCCATAGAGGTTAAGGTCATAATGAGCGAAGGAAAGTAATAATTTTGGAAAATGACCGTGGTTAATTACATTTAAAAGTAGAGAGGTTCAGGGACCCTCTTAGGAACCCTAAGGAACTCCCTCTAAAAAGTAGCGAGATTCAAGTTTTTTCCCTATAAAAACAAGGTCACTGGTGATTTTCTCTAATGGCTCATTTTGATAACCCTTCAATCATGTTAACCTCCAGCTCCTCTCAATTTAAAGGTTGCAATATTTTAAACAAACAGAACAGAGGAGAAGATTGATGGCTTGATTGTTAGTCCTTTCAAACGTTATTTTCAATCATATGTTTACATATATGTGGTTAGCCTTCTATTATGGAATTACAACACACTATGAAGATATGACATCAAACATACTCAAAAACTTCCCCCTTCAATTATGGAAAGCCTTCTACGTCGATGGACCATTCTTAATCAACATCTCACCTTTACCAGCTTAGATATCAATACAAAAAGAAATCAATCATCAGAAAATATCTCAACTTCAAAACAATTGGAGAAAATCTGAGATGTGTTTTATATGGATTGCTAAAATTTCAGAAAAGCTGGTGTGTCCTGATGTTCCGCAATAAATATTAACTAATCTCACAACCTTTAGAAGTGGAGTACATATGCATCGTCCTAATGATTTCATTCAAGAACAGCTTTTGCGCCAAGAGCTTTGAGCTTCCCTGTTAGTTGCTCTCCTTCTTCCTTTGATAATCCTTTCTTTAGCACAGATGGCGCCTTGTCCACTAAATCCTTTGCTTCCTTGAGGCCTAAGTCAGTGAAGCTCCTTTCCTCCTTGATCAGTTTTATATTAGAAGCTGCCTCAAATGACTCCAATTTCAATTCGAAGACAGTCTTTTCTGGTTTCTTCTCCTCTTTAGCTGCTGCTGGTCCCTTCATTGCCAATCCTAATCCAGCAGCTCCTGGCTTCATGACTCCTACAATTGGTGTGGTTCCTTCATTCCCTTTTTTGTGAAAATGAAGGAGTAGAGCATCAACTAACAGTTGGCTATGCTCCTGAACAAAATGAAGTCTCAGAAAGAAAAATAGTACTATCATGGAGATGGCAAGATCAATGATATAAAAAGGCTTGCCAAATGCATTCTGGGCAGAAGCTGTATATACAGCAGCATACTTGCTAAATAAATGCCCAACAAAAGCTTTACAAAATAAGACTCCTATTGAGGCTTGGAGCAATATAAAGCCATCAACAAAGCATCTCAAAGTATTTGGATGCATTTGCTATGTGCACATTCCCAAGGAGAAAAGACACAAGCTAGAAGAAAAATCTGAAGTTGGTATATTCCTGGGATACAGTAACCGATCTAAAGGCTATCGAGTCTACAATCCCATGACTAAGAAGTTCATGATAAGCCGAGATGTTGAGTTTGATGAATCGACATCATGGAATTGGGGAGGAAGAAAAAGTTGAAAGGAAAAGTGTTACTATAACACAACTGTGCAGAGAGAAAACTAAAGAAAACTCCAGGTACGACTCACCACCTACAACAACTCCTCCATCTATACAACATGAAGGCTCTCCAGAGCCACAACATAGAACTAGATCACTCCAAGATATGTATGAAACGTGCAACTTCATAACTATAGAACCAGAAAGTTTTGAAGTTGCAGTAAAAGAAGAAATCTTGAGAAAAGCATGGAAGAAGAAATCAGAACAATTGAGAAAAACAAAATGTGGGAGCTCGTTGATCGCCCACAAGACAAGGAGATCATTGGGGTTAAATGGGTCTATAAGACCAAATTTAATCCTGATGGGTCAATACAAAAACATAAAGGAAGGCTAGTAGCTAAAGGCTACTGCAACAGCCGGGCATAGACTACAAGGAGAAATATGCACCAGTTGCAAGACTTGACACTATAAGAGCACTGGTAGCACTAGCAACTCAAAAGAAACGGAGAATTTAACAGCTAGACGTAAAGTCTGCATCTAAATGGAGAGCTCGAAGAACAAACATATGTGGAGCAACCACAAGGATTTATTGAGTAAGGAGGAGAAGATCAAACATTTAAGCTAAAGAAAGCCTTGTACGGACTCAAGCAAGTGCCACGAGCATGGAACAACCGCATAGACAAGTACATCATCAACGCAGGCTTTAGGAGGAGCAAAAGCGAGCCTACTCTCTACACCAAAACTCAAGGTAACTCCGATATCTTGATCATCTCTCTGTATGTGGATGACTTCATCTACATTGAAAACAATGAAGAAATAATTCAAAAGTTAAAAAAAGATATGATGAAAACATTCGAGATGAGTGACCTTGGGTTGATGATGCACTACTTTTTGGGCATTGAGATAAACCAAGAAGAAGAAGGAATCTTCATATGCCAAAAAAAATACATTGAGAATATATTGAAGAAGTTCAAGATGTATGGGTGCAAGATTGTGGCTACTCCAGTTATCACCAATGAGAAATTAAGAAAGTAAGATGGGTACAGCAGATGAATCAGTTTATTGAAGTCTCATTGGGAGCTTACCATACTTGACAACAAGAAGACCCAACATCATGTACGCGACATGCTTACTATCAAGATTTATGCAAAATTCAAGCTAGATACACTATGGAGCAGCAAAGAGAATATTAAGATACTTGCAAGGCACAATTGACTAGGCATATGGTATAAGCCCACTATAGATCCAAGACTATTTGGCTACACATACAGTGATTGGACTAGATAAGTGGATGACATGAAAAGCACATCAGGCTATGCATTTACAATTGGGTTTGGAATATTTTCATGGTCATCAAGAAAACAAGATACTGTGACACAATCATCAACAGAAGCCGATAGCAGCAGCAAGTTCAGCATGCCAAGCTATATGGCTTAGAAGAATATTTGAAGATATGGGAGAGTGCCAAACAGAAGCTACTGAAATACTTTGCGACAACAAGTCTGCTATAGCAATGGTGAAGAATCCAGTGTTCCACAGTAGGACAAAACATATCGCCATGAAGCATCACTTCTTAAGAGAAGTCTCAGCAAGCAAAGAAGTTGAGCTCAAGTACTGCAAGACAGAGGAGCAAATCACAGACATCTTCACTAAGGCACTTCCAAAACCAAAATTCGAACTGCTATGAAACGTGCTCGGAATAACATAAATGTTTATTAAGGAGGAGTGTTAAACATTAATGCACACTTGTGTGATAAAACTAGAAAATTCTAGAATAATTGAGAGAATTACTAAGTAAAAGTTGGTTAACTCTTACTAGAATCATCCTAATAATTATCTATTGTAATTATAACTAGAAAAATCTACAATTAGAGGACTAACTTGTGGCTGAAAATTCTTTAGATTTGTCCAAAGAAAATTGCCGACATAGCATCTGTATAAATAAGCATGCAGCCCACTCAAAGTAATCAAGCTGAAAACTACAGCTGTCCAACTCAAATCAAATCTAAAACTACCCGTTGTTCTATACCAGCTGTCTTATATCCAACAAGCATTCTACCTTTCCTCCTTCAATCAATCAAATAAAACCACTTCGTTACTTTGTTACTTCATATACATTTCAAAATCTGTGGCCACCCTGTATGACTAAAAGAAACTTCATTAGACTACACAAATTTCCAATGGTTTCTTTTTCCACAAGCAAATCAACAACACATAGGCACGAAACAGAAGAGGTAAATGTCAACATTTTAAGATACAGTATGTCAAGTAATTGTCAACTTAGCAGAAGTTTCTTTGTGATTCAATTGATAATGAAGACAAAAAAATTCTAACTGTATCTTTTTTTTTTTTTAAAGTTCACTTTCCTTGACTTTTCTTTATGTTATCTGGACCAGGAAGTAATTTTCTTTGTGTTCAAATCAAAAGTCCAAGTTTCACACCAGTTTCAGCCATCTATTAAATTGAATTGAAACAGAGGAAAATATTATAAAATACAAAGCTAAACAGAAAATACTGGAATGGCATCTTTCAGGTTTCAAATCTATATCTTGGCTTTCTGTGCAGGCCTTGTTATTCAAAGCAGCTGCCATGGCCATTCTGGGCTTCAGAAAAAACATGTAGCCCTGTTCATCTTTGGTGATTCACTCTATGATCCTGGAAATAATAACTACATAAATACCTCAAAAGGTTTACAGGCCAATTGGTTGCCATATGGTGAAACATTCTTCAGGTACCCAACTGGTAGATTTTCTAATGGGCGTTTAATCTCAGATTTCATTGGTAAGAACCATCTTGTGAGTAATATTGTTTCTTTCAGTCATTAACATCTTTGCTGCTAACTGACAGCAACTGATAATACAAACACATGATACAACTAACTATTGAATTTTATGATCATGTTTCAGCTGAGTATGCCAAGTTGCCATTTATACCAGCATATTTACAACCTGGGTTGAAAGACTATACTTATGGGGTGAACTTTGCTTCTGCTGGAGCTGGTGCTCTAGTTGAAACCTTCCAAGGATTTGTATATGCTCTGACTTATTATATGTTTTCCCTTGTTATGACTTTTAGTTACAGTTGCAGCATCTCAATATGTATTTTTGGTAATTTGCGTGCTTTTCGTTAGCATGATTTGATTATGTTATCTGTTGTTTTCAGGTGATAGACCTTAAAACTCAACGAAGTCAATTCAAGAAGGTGGAGAAGCAGTTGAGGCAGAAACTAGGTGAAGTCGAAGCCTACACATTGCTGTCCAAAGCTGTCTACTTAATCAGCATTGGAATCAATGACTATTCTATCCCATTAGCCACCAATACCAGCCATGAAGAATATGTTGGCTGGGTTATTGGCAACCTGACAAGTTGGATTGAAGTAATCTTATCTTCGTTTTGCACACATGCATAGCAGGAGAAAAAATTTAATTCGAGTTTCTTCTTTTTTCTATGAATTGTTACAATTTGTATACAACTTTGTGTCTTCTGATTATGAATCCGGAAAGATCTTTTGGAGGAGTGATTTGATATACATTTTGTCAGGATGTATACAAGAAAGGAGGCAGGAAATTTGGATTTTCAAACTTAGGCCCTTATGCTTCTACGCCAAGCATGAGAGTGATTCAACCAGGAAACACAGGCCCTTCCCGGGAAGAAATTACAGCACTTGAGAATCTACACAACAGACTAGTTTCCAAGGTCCTCAAAAAGCTGAAGAAAGAGCTCCAAGGATTCAAATACTCAATGCTTAATCTCTACACTTACGCTAAAGAAAGAATTAATCATCCATCAAAATATGGTATGCATAGCCATCCATGAAACCTTCTCCTTTAAGTTATAGTTTCTCTTATTTGGTTTTGTCATAAGCTGACAAGTCATGTCTCCTTTTTAATATTCTTTTTTGTTATTACTGTGTCGACTCGTAAAGGTTTCAAGGAAGGAAAGGCGGCGTGCTGTGGCTCTGGTCCATATAGAGCAATTAATACCTGTGGAGGGAAGAGAGGTGTGACTGAGTATGAGTTATGTAACAATGTTACTGAGTACGTCTTCTTTGACTCTGCCCATGCAACTGAAAGGGTATACGAGCAAGTGTCCAAGTTATGGTGGAGTCATAACTTGAAGGAGCTATTTGAAGTTTAGGCAAAATATGGCTTGATATTATCATAAGAAACTGAGCAATTTGCAGACACAATTTCCGTTTTGAATTGAATTAAAAGTTTGATGGAGCCATGGGCACATGGGCAGGTGTTCAAGTTATGGGGGAGCCGTACTTCCTATGTCCCAGGGCCTTCTTTTAATTTGAAAGAGTTATTTGAAGTTCAGAAACCTATGTATTTTTCAGTTTCAATAAGCGCCTGTGAATTTGCTCAGACAATCTCTGTTTATAAATAAATTATGGTTTGATATATCATCTTTGTATTAATGTATTCACAACTCAAAAATGGATGTGATAGATGTTTTCTGGACTCCAATTCTTGACACCAAAAGAACCAAGGAATAAATTCTACTCAATCCTGTAAGGGATCTTATGGGGGGAAGATAGAAGCAAAAGCCAAGAACTAGGTGCTCTGTTAAGTAGGGAAATAGACATTATGCAAATGGTGAAGGTGGTCTATTTTGGTTGCTTGTTTCTCAATTTGCTTTGTTTTCTTTCCATAGTTCCGGAGAATTACAGGCGATCCTACTGATGTGTACAATATTCCACAGAGGTTATGGTCATAATGAGTGAATGAAATTAATAATTTGGGAAAATGACCATTGTTAATTACATTTAAAAGTAGAGAGATTCAGGGACCCTTTCAGGAACCCTAAGGAACTCTCTCTAAAAAGTAGAGAGATTCAAGTTTTCTTGAACATGTTTT